GGTTCCTTTGTAGCGACCTGGAGATTCCCCGGTATGACTGTGTAAACTATTCTAAAATACATTCAAATTATAGCTTTCTTATGTATTAGGGAACCAGGCGGTTTGCCTGTTGGAACGTTGTTCCCGTTTGTTGAAAACACGAACGCCATCTTGGCCTTTGGCGCGCGCGACTCGATTGCGAACGACGCTCTGTCAACGCACTCGACGCCATCGACATTCTCCCTAGCTAGCTCTCTCCGGGTGCCCTATTTTTAGCATTAGCTAACACTCCTCCCGTCCAATAAACTTTTCCCTAGCTTACTGTTGTGTCTTCCATCCATTATTTTTGGTTGGCCGTCTAGTCACGTACCGGATATATAGCGCACGATCTACGCGCTATACCTTCGTCTCCATCTTTACCCCTTAGTATTTTCCAAATACCTAGTCCACTAGGTCTCTTGCAAATACTTATACTTGTGACCCATGAGTCACGTCTACTAAAAACATTTTAACAACATTAAGCCTCATGTGAAATGCCAGGTTCTAGCGTTGTTGTCCTAATTGAAGCTTTTTCATTAAGTCTGAGCACTAGGTACTATAGTCAGCAGTTTCCAAACACTATCAGTAGGTAAGCCACAAAATAAAAAATATATCTTTCTTATTGTTGACAATGAGCGCACTTTAAAAGTTCTAGACCCAATAATCAGACATTTTGCTCTCCACTTATACTCTCTTGGCCCCATGTACTTAACTTTATCTGGTATACATGTGCCTTTCGCTATTGTCAACACTAGTAGACAGGCATAAAGAAAACCAGATCCTCTTCTTTAACTGCTTTTGCTCGTAAAACACTCGCATTTCCAGATTTCATTTCACTGGCACGAAAGCTAACCAATGACAGAGAGGCCCCTGTCACACTGGCTGGCTGGAGCACCAGAAACTTTCCATCACCACTTTTCTTATCTTGGCCGCCCGTGTGTCATTTCTCTTTTAGCTGGCTCCAAAGCCTACCATGCGCTATGCGTAATGGCGGGCGAACGACCAGCTCCCACTGGTTTTTTGTTACTATTCTACTCCTGATTTACCTTATCGCTCTTTGCTTAGGGTGCTAGAACAGCTCTTGCCAAGAAAATCACAAAAGAAATAGTCGGTGTGACATTAGAGTACCAGTTAACATTGCCAACTGGATGAACACCGCCGGCACTATCTTCGGAACTTAAAAATGGAGAGAAATAAAGCGAAATTCATCAAAGAGCTGCACAATAGTGTGCTTCTACACATGAGGCATAACAATACCTCAAGTATGAGCAAGCTCAACCACCAGAAGTAGAGTTGTTAAAGCCCAACCAATGTAGACCAAAACGGATTTCACGCCCAAATGCAATTAGCTAAATTTTACTAAAATTTCCCATGCTTATTTCTTTATTATTGGTGGCAGGCTCCTATAGCTCACTGACGTTAGAGACAGAGCCATATGAATATAGAAAATCGGCTCTAAGGGATAAATCTTGTGATGTTTAGCTAAGTAATGTGTGTCTTTTGTAGGCCGAAATCTGTCAACAGATCTGAAAGATCCCCTGGGTTACTCAGGTAGACCCGGCTCATGCGGGCTTGTTGTAAGCTTTAGAAAAGCTTAAAGGCTTAAAAAATGCTAAACTCTATTTTACTGGTTGTGTATGTGGCTCAGTATCCACTGAAAATGGTATGCTGTGGCCTACTAACCGTGAGTTAATTACAAGCTCCCCTGAATTCCCATGTAGATATAATATTCCTTGCTAGATTTCTAGCGTTTTCGCGCAAGATCATCCCTTATCTGCATATATTTGTCATGTATGCCTGCAAAGTTTACTTTTCGGCCACCTGCGCAGTCCGTAGTTGTCGCAGGGTATTACGGGCTAATTAGAGCATTACTGGATAGCTATGCCTATCTAGAACATACGCCACTTCCCTACTTTTTATATTTTTTTTCTTTTTTCTGCTATCTGCTTGCAAAGCAGAAAGCCATTTTTAGCGAAAAATAAAAATGGCCTTATTCGTAGACCATCATTTAATTGCGAATAACTCACAAACTACTGCACGCATGGTGTTGCTTTTACGTTCATCGTATTCAGGCGCTAAAGCTGGTCCAGACCAGTGTAATTTTGTGACACTTTAAGCGGTACTCTAACTGTAGAAAGGCTTTTTCTTTTTTCTGAGAATAACTCAGGTTGAAATTTTGCGCCGGAGAGCAATATCAGCGTATGAAAAGTAGGGCTGTATTTTTTGTTAATTGGTATTTTTCGACTGAAACACGCAGCTTTATTTTATCTCTTAACAAATTCTTTCTATTTTTGTCCGCATTTATCGGAATTGTTTTCAACTTTTCGTATGCCTTATAATCCCTTCACTCATTTCTTCCATGTGCGCACAATTGGGGCAACTGAGTGGCCAATTAATGTGCGATCAATTTAAAGTGCACTTCGGCGAATTGGATTCTGTTCCAAGGAGAAAAGGCACAACTACACCTCCGCGAAGTTTTCACAAAAGAACAAGGAGTTCAATATCACCCGCAGGAACCAGAAAAATGTCAAGGTGGGCGCCTGCGACCCAGTAGCTGTATATCAAATAATGCCAATGCATTTGTAACTGCTGACGATGAACATATACTTATATTTTACCTACTTCCATGCAAGAGCATCGGATTTATGTAAGCATTGATCTGAACCTTTTAGGGTGCAGCCTCTAGCAGGTCTAGAAATATACCTATTTATTTATTTATTTATATTTGCGACAAGGTGGGGACAATGTCGTGTACACATACGTTGCTTTGTTTTTACCCTCGATTTGCTTATCGTACGCACACTTCTAGTTAGTACTCGTTGGCCTATCGTGTGATCTTGCATTTGATTGGTTGCGATGCAAACTCTGTCAATTTAATTGTACTGCGCGTGTGCGCGGACAGTTTACACCATACATACATTCAGGGCTACTCTGGTCTGCTGCTAGTTTTGGATACAATATAACCATTTAGCTTCAGTTTGGCTCACATCTTTTGGGAACACCGCGTTAGTAACGAGCGTGTTCGACGCCTGGTTTACGGTAAAGAAATGGATCTGAGCCGCTCAGCCTCGTCATTTCACGCAGCAGGCCCCGATGGCTAGGCCATTTGTTGCGCAGGCCAGCCCACCGACTTCCCCGACATGCGTTGTTTGCTCACCGTGGTTGTGGATGAAAGAAGAGGAGCGATGGCCAAGCGATGACTTGGTCGAGAGGAATGAAGGCCCTCACTTTGGAGCTGGCCTTGGTTAGAGCTTTGCGGCTGCCTGGTTGGGGTCCAACAGACGGTGAACAAGTTTAGCTTGATTCACTTGCTGACCTGGAAAGCAGCAGACTACGGTGGCGTTCCTGCTGTGAGTTTCTTTGTCCCTCCCCATTCTTTTTAGCCTCCCCTCCACCTACCATCTCACTTCATAGAGATAAACATAGTAATTTTTCTTTCTGCCTATTGACCGGCTGGTAGCTTCCCGGAACAATGCCTATCCGTTGATGGTAGCTCAGCTGGCATGCAATTGTCCTATTTAGTTTCCTTTTTCTTTATGTATTGCTGCACAGTAGCTGAGGTCGTTCCCACCCCTTAGCTAACGTGCATAGTGATGATGATGATGTTTAGCTTTAGGGGTCCAGAACGTAGTTGGTTTTTGCCTGGTAATCCTTCCCTTTAGAAAAGCCACAGATGTCCGTTTACCGGCAGTGCGACGGGGTGGATGTGACTGACCACTAACTAAAGTACGGACACATGATTACCCAACAAACCACACTCCCCACGGACGTCACCCATCTATCCTCACACTTACCACGCGATCAGTCGCAATCGCAGTGGCACATATTCAGACTCGGATAATAGGTATTCACCTGGACTCCCACATACATCTATGAACTCACAGGCCAAAAGTTCGTGGATAAATTGCACCATCTTTTCTACCTCACCGACATTTAGTTATACCTTTAACATAATCTTGCCTGCATAAGCGTGTCTCGCACTGCATGGGAAGAAAGAACTTATTTATTTATTTAACAGGCTATAGCTGGAAGAAGCTCTATTAATAAAGGGGAAGTAATTCTGTCTAGGCTCTTATAGGAAGAGAAAAGGTACTTTGTTTGGGTAGCGCGCTGATCGTTCACGTTGCAGTCTAGAGGAAATCAGAAAACATGCTAGTGGTCAGGGTATCTAAACAAGAGCTGACAGTAGGGAAAGGAAAGGGTCGAGACGAAAAGAGCTTTGTTGTAAAGGATTGGAAACGAAAATGAGACTCTCGAGAAAATAGGGACGAAGTGTGCTGCCTTCCAAAGCTTAGTCGGTAACATCACATAAGTCTGAGAAAGGTCTAAAAGCAGAGAACAGAACAGAGGAAACCGGGTTACTCGGCGCAATGAGACAGTCGTACGGTTAAAGTGGAAAAACAAAAGAGTGGGTCAGCAGAAATCGACAGGTTAGAATAGAAAGGAGGCTATATTAATGAACGGCGAGTAAGTCTAGCAGGTGCCCGGGGTAACGGAAAGGATGCGCTGGTGTTGCTAACTCTTTTCTGTCTGTAAATTTTGGTATTATAGAAAACACACTGGGAAGTAGAGGGGTCAGGTTAGGATAGGCAGCCGTACTGCACGCAGATTGCAAACCTTTAGAACGGTAACAAAGCTGCATTAAGTTTCCAAAGACGACTGGTGACCAATCATGCAAGCAATCTGCTTATACATCATTCCTTAAGACTGTGACATGGCGTACATCGGCAGCGAAGGCCGTGTGTATTTGATAGTGCACCTTTTGTTCTGTTGCATATTACGGCGGAAATGAACGTTAGGTTCCATTAACTGTTCTTTGGCACGGTGAACAAAATCTCTTGCGTTTATTCTTAAATATTTTGCTGGCTTTTGTAACGTTTAAGTTAACATGTAAATCGCAGTACGTCGGGGTTGGCAGCTCGTATCTGGCTTCTAACCGTTGCGCTAACTACCTTCTAATATAAATCTAACTTTAAGATACCATGATTGATGCCGAGTCCTCTATCATACTGTTATGCGTTGAATGCTGCTCTGTAGTCACCGCTGTCAATAGCATTTCGGTACCGAAGTATGGCAAACTGCAGCTCTACGCCGCGCGCCCGTGTTCCACTATGACAACGGAGCATCGGCCCGCCGCGCCTAAGGACCCACTTTTGACAGACGAAAGTGGTAAGCACTTTATTCTTATCCAAGGTTCTGCAGTGGACTTTCAGCAAGCCAAGTCCATGGAATAAGCATGCGCAGTAGGACACTGAGGAAATATTGTAAATAAGAACACCCACCCATACGTACCATGAATGTTGATGTTTTCTTCTCCATTTCTACCCCGAGACAGACAACGTTCTGCTCGAGTTATTTACGACGATGATAAGGACAAGCCTAATTGAAAAGCTGCCAGCAATGGCAGTATATGGAAGGTTACCACCTGTAAAAATGTTTAAACCTGCTGCCCTATACGGGGCCAGAAAGCAAACTGCACCTGCACAACACCATCTATAGCATGTTCTTTGTCCCGCACATAGGTGACTGATACACTATTTAGATTTAAATATATAACCTACTTGTGTGTTTGCACATGCTTCGCATACTGTATATATTACCCGTGTACAGATGTTTAAAATTTTACTCGCAATAGATGAAATAAGCGGTTCCCGTACCTACCGGAAATTTGAGTGACCAATGGGTACGGTAATGCTACTCTGGTTTGGTAGCATTAATTTTATTTAGCTCATGATTTACCTACATTATCGGACAATTAGCTTCTACTAACAGGTGGACCCAGGGTGCCAGGTAAGTTGTACGCCACCAGCGCTTCGGGTAATTCTGCAGTCTCTGGTTACTATACGAATTGGCGTTTGTGATGTGCCACTCAGTAAAGTCACTGACCCAACCAGACATGGACAAGTTGACCGATAGGACATTTTACAAATTCTGAGCATTTATCGTCTCTCTTACGCCTTGCCTACATATTTGATCAGTGACATGCCACTAAACTTAAATTAACTATGCACTCTTCTTCATGCTTTACTCACCTGACCCGCACTGTATACACAGTCTCATGGTACTAAATCCTCACCAACATACACCATTGCAATATTCTAATTCTTGTCTCTGCATCTCAGATTATGGGAGGACAGATTTCCTTTAAGCTTTGGGCTCCTAGGCGTACACTACTGACTACGTCTGTACTACTTCCGCCCTTGGTTCCGTTAATGAGGGTATCATGTACAACATCGCTCTATGTCGAACATGCCTAAACGTCGTGCCTGGCGTTGTAGTGAATAAAGCATTTATGTATTTATTTAACAGTGTTTTTAAAGGTTTACCACGGGAGTCTAGTAAATAAGCTGAAACCTGTGCCTTGAAACCCAGATGGATTAAACTATTATATGAATTAATCCTCTAAATGTATATTAAGCGTTCCCGGTAAGTATGCCCAAACCAGCAGTAGGCTTACAGCTCCACAAACATAGTCTGCATATGTATAAAAATGCTGTCTGGACAGCGCGTTGGAGCCAATTCCTTGCAAATCAAAGTGGATGTTGAATGAAATACAAACGGAAACTCAACATGTATATCAACGGTTCTTGTCAAGTACACGAAGTTTACTGACTAGGTCTGTCTAACCACTAACTAACCATTGTAATGGTGTTAAGTTATAATAACAATAATTAGCTGTATATGTCAACCCATATAAACAATTTCAGAAACGTCTACGCAGTCCACAAACTGGAAATTGCCCCTGCGTGAGCCCATGGTACATTATGTTAATGCGTAGAGTATTTGGAAGGAATTAGCATAGGTAAAGGTTATCAGTTGGGGCCAAGGACAACGATGTTTTGTTAACCTTATGCAAGCAACGAACTATAGGTTACGTTGTAGTTATGGTGATACGTTTCAAAACGATTAGGAAACAAAATTTATATGCATAGTTTTTTCTCAAATTTACCGAGGCAACCAAATCAGGGATAAGCAATAGTTATAAGCAAGTATTGTTTGCAAAAGCCACGTTGCCAAGCAGGTATTTGGTTGTGATCAGAATTTGTTCAAGTTGCAAGCATGGAAGAATTACTTACGCGAAACAAACTCGTCGGTGAGACAACAATACGGGTTCAAATGTACCAGGCGTAACGGGTCAATTCACTGTATATGAACTGGTGACAGCAAGTGCAGACAGAGTTGAGCCCTTTTGTAAATGTCAAGGAAATATCGTACTAAGACGCTAGCTACTTACCGGCATGTGGTTGCGAGCAGTGACTTTATTCAGTAGCGAGTCCCATCCGTCAAGTCGTGGTGTTGTTACAAGGACTTTCGTGGCTTTTATAGAAAAACGCTTGAAATGCAATATTCAGCGACGCCTTGGCACACTGATGTCGAGGCTGAAAGCGGTACTGTGCAGCTGGCAAAACATCTTATCGATTGATTTTTGGTTGGTTATTTGCAGCCAACGGACTTCCAAGTGCCTCAGTTGGCTAAAAAGCACGCTTGGTCGGGGCCTGCCATGGCCATCAAGGTTGATCGAAGATGCAGCCATCACAGCCTGTCGGATGAGTACTTGTGCACTTAAGTAGAAATTTCAAAGTATTCGGGATCCGATTTTCTGGTTTGTTATGAGTTTTCTGGGAGTGAATTTGGCATGTCTAGCTATCCACACTGGACATCAGTCATGGTGGTGGGTGCAGTTTAGTCAGCTAGAAGAAGAGCCATTGTCCAGGTAACTCCTCGTTGGTTATTTCATCCTGGCCAGGCAAACTCGGCGTAACACAATTCAATATCAAGCCCCAAGCAGTTACCGACTTCACAATGAAAAGTGAGGTACTGGTTGAGAGAATAACTTAATGAACAGTAGTGCAAGCAGTGTCAAATTCCTACGTTATGACAGGTAGACTTTGGCAAACCTTTGTATAACGTGCAACGAATAATATGCTGCAATTTTCTTTTGCTCTCGTAGCAAACAGTATGGCTGATGGGTAGCTTACTGGCAAATAAGTGGCGAACAAGGGCCCGGTTCCTTCAAGCAATCAACAAATTGTTAGTTTGTGGTGTTGGAAATACTTTGAGGAAAGAGATTAAAGTGTGGGTCCAGGAACGTGGGGCGAATGAAGAGTGAATTAGCAGCAAGATGTATTCTAATTCGCTGCGGAGCGCAGCATAACTAAGTATCGATAGTTTGCGACAACAGTAGGGTAATGCAGCGGAAAGGTTGAATACTGGCGCAACGTGAGATTGTTCAAGGGAGCTGGAAATACGAAGATGGCAAGCCACCATGCTTGGGTAACGCGCATAGCGTCCTGGTTAAGGGAGGAATAGTCTGTAAGTTCGGTGCGCCAACAAGGCGAACAGAGCATTAAGCACGATATACGCGCAACTGTCACTTTATCGACCAAAGGTGGAGTGGACTGAGCGTGGCTTGTAGGTAGCCAGCGTCCCTGGATAAATAAATACATAAATAGTTTATTCTCAGCGGCGCGCGACACGCCGGTAGAGGCAGGATCATGGTAATACAAACCTGTATGGTCTGTAATTGCCCACAAGTGTTAGCAGTTATGCAGTAACGTAGGTGTTGTATGCATATAGTTGTTTGTGTGTATGTGAAGGTAGTCACTTTGGGTGAGTTTGGACTCTGCATTTGTATTTTTGCTCTTCGAACTTTCCGTCGAAGACAACTCAAAGGAAGACTTCGAATATTATGACTTCCATGACCTGCATAAGATCCTCCAAAAAGGAAAGTAGCAGTGACTTTAGTTAGTTACATGGCGAATTAGCCACGTCACAGTTCTGTTATGCAAACATTTGTGGCTTTTTATAGAGCGTACGCTTGCCCGGCGGACTCACCACCTCCTGGAACACCGCCGTCTAACCATCGGCTGAGACGGGATTAACCCAAACCACCCTGCCGACGCCGCCATGATGTGGTTCGGTTAGCTGGCCACAAACCACAGCTTTTGGTCGCCAGAGTTGATTAGGCAACTATACCAAATAGCCGACGTTAATTCCTTGATGAAGATATCGTAAAGTACGAGACTGAGAACAGAGCCCTTCTGGACCCTACTGGGCCTGCGAACACGAGCAAAAAATATGTCATTCACTTTCACCTGCAGGTTGCGGTTGTTTAGGTAGTAGGAGCTCCAAGACAGCAAGTTCTTAGATAAACCGATTATTCGAAGTTTAAATAGAACCGTTCATTCGGGACTGACGAAAGCTTTGCTGAAATCAATACATACCCCTAGGCGTTTGCCGGATGTAAACAACGATACTGACCTCCATAGCCACGAGAAATTTGAAAAGATAGAGGGTGCTTTCCGGAACTCATGTTGGGTATAAAAGGGACATCCTGTTTCTCATGATGGGGCTTAACAGCCGTGTTAGGATCCGTTACATATATGCACTCTATTGACGTCAAACTGATTCGAAGATAGTTGGCTGGATCCAGTTAAATTCTTCCTTGGTAGATGTTTTCGACCATGCCCAATTCCAAGCCAACGGAAGACGGCCAGCTCCTAATAAGCGACGAAAACATAATATATAGGCAAAGCTAAGTACTCCGCCACCATCCTATGGAACGAGAGATGCAATCCACCACTGCCCAGGGTGCTATAGTCTCTATATCAAGAAGCAATTTCATCACAGAATCAGTGTCAAATCTCAGGGCTTAACGGCGATGGAAAGATGGATACCACTGTCTCTAAATGATGTTGCTCTCGGGTAAATAGAGGCGTGTTGCTATGCTAAGTGACAAGATTGCTCATCCCCCTCTTGAAGTAAAACTTGCTGATAAAAGGAACACGAAGCAGAGGTGTCACTGTTACATTTCAAACAAGAGTAGAGCAGTTTGGACATCGTTCTGGACAGCAGTGCCTCTGGAACTTAGATAGCCGACGTTTGCAACGCTTGCTCAACACACATAGCTTTGACAGCCTTGTAATGAAAGGAATAGGGCGCTGATTGCGCGTATCTAAAGCTAAGTCATAATGTGCGCCATCCATTAATAGTTGAACTCAATCCCTGCTCCATATAAGGTGGACTACTGGTGAAGTACTTCCGATGGAAACGGCGATCGACCCGCGCAAACAGCGACCTAGCGTTCAGGGGTACAAGATTCAACACAACGTCGAGGTGAATGTGATGAATGTAAGGCTACCAAGCATTTTGAAGTTAAGGCCCGCGTA